GGACAGTATACTGAGAGTCACTGAATAGGGTAAGCAAGTATAAGCCGTGGCTTCAGCCTACTCAGTTTTTGGTCAATTATTGATTTGTATTTGTAAAATTGTTTCATTTTGTTTTCTTTTTCTTGTAGTGTAAATTTATCTGAATAAATCTAAATCTAAAGCAGTGGTCCTTGAGGATCACTATCTTGCATGTTTCAGATGTTGTCCTGCTTTAGCACACCTAAATGAATGAGTGATTGACAGGCTTTTAGGAAACAACTAAAACATGCAGCATAATGGTCCTCAAGGTCCTGGGTTGAGATCTAAAGCACTGATTAGTCTTTATATAATGATTCATTTGTATTTATTATTAAAACTCTGAATGAATGTGTAAACGGGCAAATGAGGGCACAGATTGTAATGTTAAGTGTTTTGAGTATCATGGTTGAACAGAAAGGTGCTGTATAAGTACAGCCCATTTATTGTTTGTGGGGCAAGTTAAAAGATGCTGTAATAATTGTAGATTATTGTGAATTTGAAAGTAATTTTTTTGACTGTCTATAGTTTAAAACAGAGCAATGTCTCAAATAAAATTATTGTGACCATGTAATGTTACCATGTAATAAATTATGACTTAAAATTTAGAATTTATCTTTAACAACTAAGTTTATGATTCCTCAGACTTTTAGCACTCTTTCACACTGAACTTTTTGCAGGAAATGTCTTTTCTGTAGTATTTAGTTTGTAAAGAACTAACTATCCAATCAGCTGAAAGGAGGTCAGCATCAGACAGATACTCGCTGGCTCTGTCCACATCCTCTATCTCAGTGAAGAAGTCCAGGTAGTTTTGATGAAGGTACAGGCTGAAAACCTCTGCAGACATCTGTGACCGCTCCATAACCAGCTGAGAAAAAACACAAGATCAATTAAAAAAGAAAAGGTATAAGTAAGTATAACACCTAAATATTGTCTATTCAAATAAACTAAGAAAACATTACCTCTGGATTAATCAGCAATGGTTCCCTGTGATAATGTGAGAGGTGACACGATAAGGCAGGCCCAGGGCAAGAGGTGGTTTCATCAGCAGCTTCAGGAGTGCCTCCTGTTTTTTACAAATATTTATCATTTGGTTAATAAAGCATATTATTTTTTGCTGGTAAATCAGCAAAACCCATGAAAAAGCAACTAAACTTTATTTGGATTTAAGCCACAACTATAGCCCTGATGATTACAGAAGGTCAGTCTAATGAAGTTCCAATAAGACTTCTGTACATCAGTATAAACAGGTGAAGTCAGTAACTATTTTAAGCAAGTTCTGTTTGTTTGCTGATTTTTTTGTAAAAAATTACAACACATTGAGACATCTGAAGTATACTGTATTATTATATTGATATTAATATGGTTCCTTAGCCCTTTGAGCCATATATGAGTCATATCTCTGTAGCCTAATTATGACCCCCGCACACGAAGCGTAAGCAGGAGTCATATTGTTTTTGTACGGTTTTTATTTTTATTTATTTATTTTTTCTGTGATTTTTGGTCAACCGTAGCACAAAAACGGCTGCACCAATCAACATGAAATCTGGCAGGGCTGTAGATGAGTCTGACCTACACTGCGCCAGCCAACGGTTTTACGATACACCCCATATTTGAGGAGGGGGCTCCTTTCAAAGTGGGGGTGTCTGGACATGCAAAAATTCTTATAACTCAAAAACTATTAAACATAGGAGCTTCAGATTTTTTTTTTTTTTTTGTTGTTGTTGTTGTTGTTGTTGTTCAGCTCCGATGAAGCTCTATCCATCAGGTCTTGCTTTGACTCATTCATGTATGTTTGAGAAATCCTGTAGTGCAGGGGTGTCAAACTCCTGTCCTCGAGGGCCGCTATCCTGCATGTGTTAGAGGTTTTCTTGCTCCAACACACCTGATTTTGATCGCTGGGTGATTAACAGGCTTCTGCCCAATTTGAAGAGTTAATTCAATCACTGAATCAGGTGTGTTGGAGCTGGAAAACCTCTAAAACATGCAGGATAGCGGCCCTCGAGGACTGGAGTTTGACACCCCTGCTGTAGTGTCTTGAGGCAGCCAGACAGGGGAGCAAAAACCACCAGGTGGGACTAGAACCACCTTTTGGGACCAGCTCCTCCTCTGGGCCGTGTCTCCAAACCAAGCTTCCTTATCCTAGGCTACGTTCACAMTGCAGGCAAATCCGACCCAAATCCGATTTTTTTTTGACCCATCTGACTCATATCCGATTTTTTTATGACAGTCTGAACGCGACAAATCCGATTTTTTCAAATCTGACCCAGGCCGTTTCTGTATGTGGTTTTAAATCGGATATATATCTGATGTTTTCAAAATGACTGCAGTGTGAACGCTCATGTCACATTCATCTGACTTTTTCATCAGGAGGAGGGGCTGAAGGATCGATAAGACACTAACCTCAAGTCTCGCTGTTTAAATCTGTAGCTCCATGTGTTTACAGCTCCAAAACACAAGTCCAGTTGCTTCATCTTTTTACTTTTCATTTTCCACGTAGATAGTATGATAATAATGATGTCCAGCCTGGGTCGCGGAGAGTATCGATCCTAAAGTTAGCTACTCGGTCGATACTTTTTTCCAGCTCGTAGTTTCGTTAAAAAAAAAAGCTTCACTGGAGCATCCCGGTCAGAGGCAGGTTCAGATATAAACAATGAACTAAAGAAGCAGGTCAGATAATTATTTAATCGGCTCTGATTAAACAACAACTTAGATTCGATGCGCAAAATGTAGCATCCATGCTAGCTCTGTAAACAAACAAGCCGCATGATGAGACGTCACGTCTTTTACTGCGCATGCGTGTCACATCAGTGCTGTGTAGCGTTCACACAGGGGTCTGATGCAGGTCACATTTAAAATGTAATGTGAACGTTCACACAAAAAGATCAGATTTTTTCAAAAAATCGGAACTGAGCATTAAGACCTGCAGTGTGAACGTAGCCCAAGATATTGATGATACTGATGGACCAAGTGTCCCTGCCTATCAGTCAGAACACATCAGTGTCATGTGTGAACAGGCCCACTCTCCTTTATTTATTGTTTTCATTTAAACTTGATTTTTAAAGAGTATGGTAAAAGGTTATTAAAATGTTATGTTTTCATTGGAATAAAACCCTTGTTTTTGTGAATGCCAGCTCTGTATATGCCTGTGTTTAGTCCAACAAATACTTTTTAGATGAAATTCCTGAATATGACCTTTAATTCTGGTGGAAAATCTTTGAAGTCACTAAAGCCTTAAAACCTTTTAGGTCATAAATATGTTTGAAGGCTGTCAGCAGTGTTTGTCAGTAATAAATAAATCTGAGACATCAGCCAGACGTCTGTATAACAATTTGTAGGTGAAAGATGTCACTCACGTTTACAATACAGGATCTTTCCCAGTGCTCTGAACAGGAACAGAGATGCATCTTTCCCTCCGATAGCCTGGTGCTGTTCCTGTTCCTTCGTTTGTTTCAGTTTTTTCATCCTCTTGTTTCCTCTAGCAACAGCTCTGTTGTTCGATATCACAGACCTTTTATCGAACCTACCCGTGTTCTCTGCAGAGCTGTCTGAAACTTACAAACAAGTTTAAACAAACAAAAAAGTTGACTTGTTCTGCCAACCTGAAACATTTAACAGTGTAAACTGGACTGTAGAAGCACTTCTCACCTGGGCGACAGAGAAACTGGAGACTATTGATGGCGCTACGTAAATCCCCTGAACTCCCTAAACACAGCGCTTCCAGCTCCGTTCGGTCGACGGCCAACGTCCTTCCACCACTCTGTTAAAAAGATGAAGACATTACTCACAGAAAACTATCCACATGTAGACATAAACAATCTTTTACTTGCCTTTCCTGACTCCTGGGATAAAATACAGCTCAGAACTTTCATCATTGTTGATTGAGGAACTGGATTAAAGCTGAAGGAGGAAAGTATAAAACTCTTACTGAGAATCCAGACTTAAATTACCAAACAGGTAAACAGATAAACTGGGATTGACAGCTACTCCAGTAAAATAAATAAAAATAAGCTTTATTTCAATAAAACACAGCTTCTGACATGACTTTTATTCAGACCTGGATATTGTAGTTAAGGTTTCAAACAACACCAGAAAAAATTTACATCATCAACAATAAAACATGCAGTGATCCAAAAAAACATATAAAGCCAAAACATAGTGTATGTATATGTATTCCCTCCCTTTGTTTTGAAGCCCCAGACTTTATTTTCTTGGGTAAGAGCCACCTGTGAGCAATCTTAAAGTCAGTTTATCCAAATCTGTCAAATGATAAACACCTGTTGTATATGTTTTGCTGGCTGAATATACAGGCTAAGGCTGGGCGGTATGACCTCACATTCATTTCACAGTATAAATTGAATCTCTTCATGGTAACGGTATATATTGTGGTAGAAAATTATCATACAGGGTTCATGCAGGTTTCAATAAGTTAAATTTAAGACCTTTTAAGACCATCAGGAATGAAATTTAAGACCAAACCGACACATTAACAACATTTAATTGGTCCCAGAAATTTTAACATAGAAACCTTTTATTGCTATCAATTTGCCATTAAAGAATAATATATTTTTATACAAGAACACTAAATTATTTTAATGAAAAGGTCATATCTATATGAGACNAAGGTCATATCTATATGAGACACCTTCATATCGACTGCTGTGGACCACTTCAAGAGTACAAAAATGACTGATTTCAGCCAAGTCTCATTGAAAACACACTTTCCCATGTTTAAAGCACAAGCAGAGGACATGACTGAACTTCTTTGTTTTCTGGGCAGGTGAACAAGATGCTATATGTGGGGGGTTGTAGTGACAAAGAGGTCAAAAACATGGAAGTAAACTGTACCATTTTTTTCTGCAGTTATCACAGGACTTGTGGTTTAACCACGTACAAAGGCTGGTAGCAAACTCAGCACCTCATGAAGACAGATCACATCAACGTCTGATTACAGAGCTTCACTTATTTATGCAGCAAACACTTCTGTGAATGATCGAAAGTAAAAAGAATTAAGACTTGACAAAATTAAATTTAAGATCTTGGATACAAATCTGGGTGTTTTTAAGACTTCTTTAAGGCCTAAAATTTTGATTTTCAAATTTTTTATTTTAGACTTTTTAAGACCTGATCCTGACCCTGATCATAAAAGCAAAGACCATACAATGAGCTTCTGACTGCTGGACTTATCAGCTGCTGCTCTGAGAGCAGGACTGTTACATTAGCAAGATGGATTCATGACTGAATGAACGTCCACGTCTTTTTCTATCATCTCTGTGGGTAACAATATATAAACAAGTTTTTTCTCCGACAACTTGGGTGAAAAAACTACGGTTGTTGAAGCTTCGCTCTGCGTAACGTGCAGCGGGAGGGAGGAGGACATGATCCCGCCACACGATGTAACTTTTCTACAGCGGGAGGGAGACATTTTGAGGATTTATTCTCTCTATACGTGTTTTAAAATGCTATATTTCTTCATTTATTTTCATTATGATTCAAACTCCTCCTGCTCAGTTGTCTCTGCACTCATTAACACAGGTGTGATGACATAACTGACGACAGGACAGTAGAGGGTAAATTTCTACCTTAGGCCAACTTCATATCGTTTCTACCATCTATCATACATACCGCTCAGCCCTAATACAGGCACACGTTTTTCAAATTTTACTTTTTTTCTTTTAGAATGACATTAAACAGGTTTGTATGAGTGCTTTCAAATCACACATGCTTCAAATTATTGTGCTTTCATACTAATATCTGCTCTCAAATCAGTGTTACTGCGCGTTCAAGCTGGTGGCTCATACTGTATGTAACGCTATATAAACCATGGTGGTGTTATTTTGGTCACAAACAGAACTGTTCAAAACCTGATGCAGCTGATAGAGAGTTCCTTCTGGATCTCTTTAGGAAAAAGAGATCGTAATCTGCCATCTCCACTCGGACAGTCTGACACAACAAACACCAGGGGACACTGAGCACTTCTCACAAAACACCTGGAAAACACAAACACAAACAGAACAACAAAAGAGGATGTATTTAATGTCAGATTTACTTACATTAAAAACAACAAAAGCTGACCAAAGTGCTTTACAGTTCAAAGACTTGTATGTATATATATATATATAAAATACATTAATACAAATAAACTACAGAAACACTCCATGAGAAAAAAGACATCAGCTCTAACTGAACCAAAGAGACAGGTCTTCAGCAAAGATTTAAAAGCCTCAACAGTCTCAGCAGACTAAATAGAAAGAGGCAGACTGTTCCACAGCTTTGGAGCAGATCTTGCAAAAGCCTGATCCCTCTGGATTTCAGTTTGTATCTAGAAACATCTAAGAGAAACTGGTTGGTAGACCTGAGTGCTCTGACTGGAGTGCAGATGTTAAGATCACATAAATATGATGAGGCCAGACCATTAAAAACTTTAAAAGCCATCAATAAAATCTTAAAATCAGCTCACAGGTGAACAGGAAGCCAATGGAGAGAAGCCAGGACCGGGGTTATGTGTTCATGCTTTTTAGTACCTGTTAAAAGACGAGCTGCTGCGTTCTGGATAATCTGTAAGTGATGCAGAGATGATTTATCCAAGCCAGCATACAAAGAATTACAATAATCCAAGCGAGTGGTAATAAAAGCATGAATCACTTTTTCAAGGTCTTTAGTGGAGAGATAGGATTTCACCCTTGCAATCAGTCTTAATTGAAAAAAATCTTGATTTTACACCAAAAAAACCCAGATTCCTGACAGTAGAGTGGCTGTATGAATAAACAGCCAAGAATGGCAAAAGAGTTAATTTTACCAAAACTGATGACTTCAGTTTTAATTTAATTTCATTTCAGATAATTCAGTTTCAACCAGGTTTTTATGTCATTTAGACCAGGGGTTCTCAAACGTTTTGTGTCTGGGGACCCCTTACAAAGGTGAAAAGGTTCCAGGGACCCCCCTTATAAACCCCAGGCTATTTTAAAAATAGTTTACTGTCATTTCACCTTCTAAATGCCATGGGAATATTATCTTTTGTTTGGTTTAGTTTGTTTGTTTTACTAGTGCATTGTTCCCCATATGCATTTTTTAAAATAAAAATCAACAATTTATTGAAAATTGTTGAGGATCACCTAAGATACGAATCACGGACCCCAGTTTGAGAACCTCTGATTTAGACAACTGAAGAGTGGTTCCAGTGGAGTGATCCTGTCTAAATTAATGTGCAGATAAACCTGGATATCATCAGTGAAGTAGTGAAAAGAGATGTGATGCTTTCTAAAAATGGACCCCAAAGGCAACATATAGAGATTAAAAAGGAGTGGACCAGAAACTGTCCCCTGGGGGACCCCACAACTCAGATGAGCTGCTGAAAAACAAAATTCACCAAGGTGAACAGAAAAACTCCTGTTAGTCAAATAAGATTTTAACAAACAGCAGACTTGAAACATGATGAGGAGTAAACTTAAGACATATTTGAGTCCCTAAAGCTCTCAGCAGCTTTTTTGTCCCATAGTTTCAAAGGTTACTTTATCAGTAGCACAAAGCCCTAAAAGAAGCTTGATTATTATGTTCAGCATTTGTTTTTGTTTTAAATAAATCGTAAAAATTTTATGAAAATAGTTACTTTACCAGAACAAAATCCTAAAATTGTGTGGACCTTTGAACATCTCTTTCCTCTAAGTCTCTGTTAGTTAATGATCTGATAACTGATCATCATACTGATTTATTCTCTTACTGAAACCTGGTTACAACAGGAGGATTTTGTTAATATAAATGAATCCAGTCCCAATTATTTAAATGTTCATGTTCCTAGAACATGTTGAGGTGGAGGAGTGGCTGATGTTTATGAATCTGCAGGCTTGAAATAAGCATTTTCAGTCAATCTGATTATTTTGTGTACTGCTAGGTGGCAGCTGCACAGAAACACACAATGACGTTAAGAAATGATAGTCCATCAGTGCTAAACAATGAAAAATAATTGAATTCCCTATGTTGAACTGTTTTTGAGCTATAAGCATTTCTGTAAGCAAAACCATTTGCTAGTTTGTAGGTCGAACCAAAACTGACATAATTAGAAATAAAAGCAGAAATATGTAAATGGACCAATAAATAAATACACTTAAAATGCTACAAATTAAAAAGGAAACTTTACCTCATGTTTTATAATTTAATTGAACGTCATATTTATTTTTCCAGCTTAGTTCCAATAAATTATGTATTTTAGCACATAATCTACATTTTACTGTTTATACAGTGGGGAGATCAAGTATTTGATACACTGTTGATTTTTCAGGTTTTCCCACTTGCAAAGCTTGTAGATGACTGTAATTTTTATCATAGGTACTCTTCATCTGTGAGTGATGGAATCTAAAACAAAAATCCAGAAAAATACAATGTATGATTTTTAAAT